TTCCCCCACAGAGCAGCGCTGTGCATGTCGGGACTCACAGGTCTAGACACGATGTGAGAGTATTTGGTTATAGTGCAGAGGGATTTGCCGAAGGGTTGCTCTGGATGGGTCTGTAGGTTTACCTTCAGTGAGCTTGCCTTGAGCAAAATGAAATAAAAGTTTTAGTTCAGAGTGCTTCACCTATGTCAGTTAGGGGCTGCAGGGAACTGCATCACGGAGACAAGTGTTCTGAACTGAAACACAGACTCTGGGAGTCATCTCTAATGACAGTCTAGTGATCTCTGTAGATGGTTTGGGAAAAAAAAAAACCCAAACTATCTTGGGCTTTGCTCTTCCCCTCAACTGTATTCATTTTCCATAAAAAGTATAAAAGAAGGGAGAGACCTTCCTCTGATGAGGATTTTTCTCCAGTTTAAAATCTTGACTAACTTCTCAGATAACTGTTCTAATTTTTTCTTTCAGCATTCTGGCCTCTCTGGCAAAAAAACTGCTTCTGAAAGCCAGTGCTCTAAAATTGCATTGTGACCCCATCTTCCGTGCCAAGAATTTTGAATATAAATAATTATTTGTCATAAGGCACTGTATTTCACTATCCTAGGGGTCCCTAAATCAGTACAGATTTCTTCTAGGTTGAACGCAAGACAATTGCCATAGTTTCTTCTTCTCCAGATACATAACTATGAAACAGCTTGTTAACCTTTTTTTCAACCGTGGGAAATAAAATATAGATGTATATATATGCATTACATTACAGCATATCTTGTCTCAGAAAGCTAGCATGACATTACACCCCAGCTAAAAAAATTAGAGGTAATTTTAAATAAATGATAGTTGTAGTTAAATTTATCTTCTCATGATGTTTAAAATATATACAAATGGAAGCGCTAACTGTAGGGCGGTGAGGTGGACAGGCACCAGACAGGGTTGTATAAATAGGGTAAGATTGATATTGCAAATGCTCATGCACACAAAAAACCTTTCCTCTTGCAATAACCGATGGAACTAATTCTCAGCAGCTGCCTAGGAGGGTAAAGTTATTCCTGAGCATGAGAGATTGTGTGAGTGCTGGTGGAGTGCACCACTGAGTTCAGCCTGAGTCGAACACTATATAAAGCCTATTTTTTGCCCAGATACCCCTGCACAAACAGCCCTCACTGGCCTGGAGGAAGGGATTGCTGAGATTTACCTTTCCTTTTTGGTGCTTTTTGTGGGGAATGTTCTATATAACCTCAGGAACAGCAACTGATCTGTTGGCCCCAAAAGAAAAATATTTGAACACATACCTCAATTTAAAATGCGGGAAGTCCTGCTGACACCAGTGAATCTAATCCATGTTTGAAAGGAAGCACAGGCCTAAAGTGCTGTACCGAGCTGTGGTCTAAAGCAGAGCCAAATTTTTCATAGGGAAGGTGCAGTATAAATTTCTCAGATACATCTTACCGGCCAGTTCCTCCCAACCCAGGCACTTGAATTTGTTTAAACATTTGGATCCACTTCCACATAGCATTGTTTTCATTAGTTTCCCATGGAAGATAATTACAGAGCAGTATGTACAGAAGTTGTACAAGTATCAAGTGGTGATGAGCTTTTACCTGAGGTAAGTATACTTGAAATGGAAAACGGGCAATAGCCTATTTATTAATGTCTGACAAACAGAGACTGAACTCCTCAAATACGTTAACTAAAGGTATTTCAAGATTTTTTTTTCTAGGTTTTTTTCGAAGGTGGACAGTTATTCAGAAGTTTTTGTGTTTGTTTTTTTTTTTCCCCAGAGTGTTCTTTCTAAAAAGGTTGCGGTTGTCGAAGTGGGGTGTGTTCATAAAAATGTAACTTTGCAGTATTTTTTTTTTTGCAGATTAAACACCAGGATGTGCTGGTATCTTCCCAAATATTACCAGATACTCTTCTCTGTATGTTGTGTTACCAAGGTGAGACTGTCTTAAACACTTGTACGTTAAAAAAAATCAGGTTTGGGGACGAATCAGTTAGAAATGGGAATACTTGAGACTCCTGACTCTGCTCTAATCAGAAAATACTCTTTTTACAGCACCCTCAACCCAAGCAATAGAAGAGCAGGAAACGTGCTGGTTCACTCACAGTTCCTGCAAAACCATGGCCCCAGCCTGCCTTTCTCCCAAGCTGGAGTTATCATTGGTGGGTTTTTCACCAGAATTCATGAGCCCTGCCTGCGGAGCAGTCAGTCTGTCGCAGGGGAGGTAATGCTGACAAGAGGATCTGCTGTTGCAAGGCTCATACCTGTTATATGCATCTCCAGAAGAAAAATAGAAAACTTCTTTAAAGAGCATGAATGGATTATGAGGTGCAGTATAAATTTCTCAGATACATCTTACCGGCCAGTTCCTCCCAACCCAGGCACTTGAATTTGTTTAAACATTTGGATCCACTTCCACATAGCATTGTTTTCATTAGTTTTCCATGGAAGATAATTACAGAGCAGTATGTACAGAAGTTGTACAAGTATCAAGTGGTGATGAGCTTTTACCTGAGGTAAGTATACTTGAAATGGAAAACGGGCAATAGCCTATTTATTAATGTCTGACAAACAGAGACTGAACTCCTCAAATACGTTAACTAAAGGTATTTCAAGATTTTTTTTTCTAGGTTTTTTTCGAAGGTGGACAGTTATTCAGAAGTTTTTGTGTTTGTTTTTTTTTTCCCCAGAGTGTTCTTTCTAAAAAGGTTGCGGTTGTCGAAGTGGGGAGTGTTCATAAAAATGTAACTTTGCAGTATTTTTTTTTTGCAGATTAAACACCAGGATGTGCTGGTATCTTCCCAAATATTACCAGATACTCTTCTCTGTATGTTGTGTTACCAAGGTGAGACTGTCTTAAACACTTGTACGTTAAAAAAAATCAGGTTTGGGGACGAATCAGTTAGAAATGGGAATACTTGAGACTCCTGACTCTGCTCTAATCAGAAAATACTCTTTTTACAGCACCCTCAACCCAAGCAATAGAAGAGCAGGAAACGTGCTGGTTCACTCACAGTTCCTGCAAAACCATGGCCCCAGCCTGCCTTTCTCCCAAGCTGAAGTTATCATTGGTGGGTTTTTCACCAGAATTCATGAGCCCTGCCTGCGGAGCAGTCAGTCTGTCGCAGGGGAGGTAATGCTGACAAGAGGATCTGCTGTTGCAAGGCTCATACCTGTTATATGCATCTCCAGGAGAAAAATAGAAAACTTCTTTAAAGAGCATGAATGGATTATGTGCGTTTTTCCAAAGCAAAGTGGTTGCACTATTGAATGTCTTTTTCTGAATGCCCAAGTTTTACTTGTCCAACAGCCATTCAGATGGCTGTTGCTGCATCTGCAGCAGTTGGGAGCCTGCCCTGTTTTAACCATAGCAGTATTCCGAGAACTTTAAACCTAGGTAATGGGAAAATGAAGGGAAGGTGGAAAGATTGTCAAAGATCCTGGAAAAACATGTTCCTCCACATAAGCCTAAATACGGTTCTGTGATTTAGTGCTACAGTTCTACGTAGATTGGAAGCGTTTTGAGGCAGGAATTATGTCTTTTGTTGCATGTTGGTAAGGTGTCCCCTGGTGGGGATGCTCAGTTGGTGTCTTTAGGTGATTCAGTTTTACAGCTGCAGTTTACAGACACAGCTTTTAGTCAGGTGTGTTGTCAGTTTGTGCTGAGCTGAAGAGCAGTACGAGGAACAATCACCAGTGTTTGCAAGCTGTAATTCAGGTCTCTGGCTGAAATGCTACAAATGAAGAGAGGGCAAGGCTGTGCTTGGGAGCAGCCCTGGGAGGAATGGAAAGGGAGCAGTGTTTGGGACAAGGTGGCCAGTAATAAGGTCCAGATTACGTCACAGGCTGGTGCACGCTTCCTTGGTTTGGAAAATTAATTCATTATTAATGTCATTAATTTTTACATACCAAATAGAGTGGCTATCTGATTGCTCAGAAGTTGATTGGCCAAGTTAAGGCAGAACAGTCTTCCAAATGAATATACCCACTGAATTAATAGAAATTGTCTGCCAGCAAGGTACAGAAATCAACATATTCAAAATTGCTACAAACTATAGCAATGGCATGAGTTTACCGAGGTGATACTTACTCTCCTGGGTATAAAACTTCTGAGACAGAGCAGTAAAGTGCATTAATCCGTAACGCCTTCCTTGAGAGTGGTGCAGCGGAAAGAGGTTTGTGGCAACTGCTGTCAGCTGCCGCTCTCTACTGCGGTTCCAGGGGAGAGATGCTGGTGTAGCTCCAAAAGCATCCTGCTGTCAGCCACGGACCTAACGCCGCTCATCTACTGGAGCCCGGTGCGCTGTCCCGGCTGCCCGCCTAC